GGATGAAGGAGGAGTAGGAGCAGCAGGAGGAGCAGCAGGAGGAGGGGTACTCTAATGAAGGTGAAGCGGCGGGAAAGGGCAGAGGGAGCGGATGGAAGTCATCAGAGGGGGAAGATTCAAAGAAGGAGGATTAGGATGAGGCTTACCAGAGGAGGGGTTGAGCATGCAGAAAGAGGGAGGAGAGGGTACACGGCGAAGTAGGAGGCGCAAGAGAACAGGAGGATCGCATGGGACAGATGGAACAGAGGAGAAGGAAAGAGAGGACGGGGAACAAACGGAGGGAGCAGAATGAGGAGAAGATGAGAAGGCCAAGGAGGGGAGAAAGAGGATGTGCCTTGCACGCCCCTCCTCCCCTTCCCCAACCCCCCCGCGAGGACGGCCGAGAGGGAAAACAAACAAGTGAAGAGGGAAAGAAAAAAGTGCTGTACGCCCGAGATGCGAGGATGCCTCGAGCCGTAGCCCCTGGCGGGGGCGACCAAGAGGGAAGGACAAAGAAAGAGCGAAGATGGAAAAAAAAAAAAGAGTGTAGAGGGAAAGAACCTAAAGGGGGGGGAAAATAGTGAAGAGGAAAAGAAGAGAAGTGTAGACGGAGAAGTCGAAAATTCCCGCGGGGAGCCCCGAGGGGCCTCCTGAAGTCCGCGGGGAGCCCAAAATGGCCTCCTGAGAGGCCGCCTGTGTATGCAGACTATCTAGGGCCTCCGGAGAGCCCCGCCCCCGTCCCCCCTCCCCCCTTCAGATGCCGCCCCCCCCCCTCCTCCTCCTCCTCCTCCTCCCTCTTCCTCCTCCTCCTCCTCCTCCTCCTCCTTCCTCCTCCTCCTCCTCCTCCTCCTCCTCCCTCCTCCTCCTCCTCCTCCTCCTCCTCCTCCTCCTCCTCCCTCCTCCTCCTCTCCCTCCTCCTCCTCCTCCTCACCTCCTCCTCCTCCTCCTCTCCTCCTCCTCCCCCGCCCCTCCTCCTCCTCCTCCTCCTCCCCCCCCACGCGAGGCCGGCCGAGAGGGGGAACAAAAAAGAGGAAGAGGGAAAGACAAAAGTATCGTGCGCGCGGGGTGCGAGGGATGTCTCGAGCCGCGGCCCCGGCGGGGGCGACCGAGAGGGGGGGGAGAAAAAAAAGAAGTGAAGAGGGACAGAAAAAGAGTATAGAGGGAAAGAACCGAGAGGGGGGGCGGGGGGAAAAGTGAGGAGGGAGAGAAGAGAAGAGTAGAGGAAGGAATCCAGGATTGCCGCGGGGAGCCCCGAGGGGTCTCCTGAAATCCGCGGGGAGCCCCGAGAGGCCTCCTGAAAGGCCGCCTGCGCATGCAGAGCGCGACTATCTGGGGCCTCCGGAGAGCCCCGCCCGCCCCCCTCCCCCCCCCCTTCAGATTCCGCCCCCCCCCCCCCCCTCTCTTTCTCCCCGCCCCTTCCCTCCCCCTCTCCGTTGTGCGCCAGCATTGTGAGGACGTCTCGAGCCGTGGCCCCTGGCGGGGCGACCGACAGGGAAAAAGAAAGAGCGAAGAGGGAAAGAAAAAGAGTGCAGAGGGAAAGAACCGAAGGGGGGGTGGAAAAAAAAGAGAGCGAAGAGGGAAAGAAGAGAAGTGTAGACGGAGAAATCGAAAAGTTCCGCGGGGAGCCCCAAGGGGCCCAAGGGGCCTCCTGAAGTCCGCGGGGAGCCACGAGAGGCTTCCTGAGAGGCCGCCTGTGTATGCAGAGCGACTACCTGAGGCCTCCCGAGAGCCCCGCGCCCCTCCCCACCCCCCGCTCAGATTCTGCCCCCCCCCCCCCACCCCCACATACACCCTGCGAAATGCTTAAGAAATCATGGGTTCAGAAATTCATAGTCTCAGAATTTGAATAAAAACCCAACAATTCTATCAAAATCATAGGATTTACATTGAAGCGTTAAGAATAATCGAGAATCTGGCCGAAAACTTAAGTTTTCTTAAGCATCGCCTAAGGTGTACACCCGAGCCCCCCCACCCCGCCCCACTACCTCGAGAGGGAACCGCAGCCCTCCCCCCCCTCAGATTCTCCCCCTGAATAGTGGGCAAACAAACCTACCTCGCTTTTGACCACCCTCGCTTCCAAGAGATACCAAGCGATGCCAAACTACGGCCTGTACTGGTCAGGCCGCTCAAGGAGGCGCGTGGTATGACTTGGTTTTGCCTGGAAGCGAAAGCGGAGTAGGTAATTCACGCTCTGACTGAAGGCCACCCAAGAAATCAACTACCTGGGCTCCTCCTCCGCTGAAGGCGGAGAAGCGGGAAGAATGAAGCGTTCGAGGGAAATCAGAGGCGTGCAAAAAGCCGAGAGGGAAACATAAAAAGCGCAGAGGGGGACAAACAAAGAAAACATGCCGCCCGCCCCCGCCCCTCCCTCTCCTCCACGCCCCCCGGCCTCCCCGCCCGCCTCCTCTTCGGCGGCAACCCACGGGAGCCTCCCACATACCACATTGTCAAGGGCTCCTAAGTTCGCGCTTCGCGCTGCGCGAAGCGCGAAGCGCGAATAACTTCGCGCTCTCGCGCCGCC